TTCCGAAACAGAACTGTCAAATTTTAAAAGTGGAGTCAAGACGCACCTATTCACCTCCGCACATGGATAAAGTGGACTTCAGATAGCGCTTTTGAGCAATTAGATTGATACAAAGCGCTTTACAAATATTTGTATGTATGTATGTGTATGTATGTCTTTAGTTGTGCCAGTATTCTGGAATCGCTGACGCAGCCTTAGAATGGTGAGGCGATGACACCCAAATGCAGCAGCCACTTCCCGATCAGTCGACCCAGTTTGCAGCATTCCAATGGCCCTCTCCCGCTCTTCTGCTGTTAATCTCGGCATTGTAGTGAATGTATGGTGTGAAATGATAAATCTAGGGGCCTTATATACCCGTTTCCAACAGTTTTCACGTGCATTTCATGCAAGGTGAAGTTACAATGGGTACGTTTTGGCGTTATGCTTCCTGATACAAGGACAGAAATAGGCAAAAATTTACAGTATCTAAGGGAAAAAATTAGTCATTTCTCGTTTGACGACTCTTCCTAAAACATTCGAAAGTCATGATGATCCAAAAATTAAACCTCAGGTGGTTGGAATGTGTTTTAAAGAGACAAAAATCCAAGTTCAGCATTGGGTCCCTTTTTACGGTAAACAACCATTCTTTCATATCCAAAACCCAACTTTATCACTCTTTGTGAATGTGCATGCATTATCATCATAAACAATATCATTTGGACCCATTTTTAACTGTTGTTTACACTTTTGATTTGAATTTTTACATGATTGAAAATAGGACAATGGACCCCCACCTAAACAAACATGTCGATATCCTAATTATCAATGACTTCCTCAGTCTGATGTTTTGACTCAATAGAGTTACATGATTGGTTGTTAAAACATACCAAACCAAAGTCTTCTATCCATATAACATTTTAGGATATTCTAATGTTCAGAGGTGTAACATTTCTTTTGGCGTTCAGTTTATAATTTGGTTTCGTGCAGAATTGCTCATTCTCAAATGACTGACTGACTGAGTTTGGTTTTACGCCGCTTTTAGCAATATTCCAGCAACATCACGGCGGGGGACACCAGAAATGGGCTTCACACATTGTACCCATGTGGGGATTCGAACCCGGGTCCTCGGCGTGACGAGCGAACGCTTTAACCACTGGGCTACCCCACCGCCCCCATTCTCAAATGAACGTGGCATAACATTTACAGGGTTTGACTATCAGTAAATTACTTTTCACAGTAAAATCACTTCAAAGATTTGGGGGCGCGGTGGGCGAGTGGGGGTGCGGTGGGCGAGCTGGCTAAGGTGCCAGGCTAGTGATCCAGCAAGGTTGAGGTGCCGGGATCGAGACCACCTGTGACCGGGTGTAAAAACCTTGGAGTCAACTTTATGTGCAGACTTTTTACGTGTTGTCACAACCCCTAGTGTACAGTACACAACCCTGTGCACTTAAAATAACCCACGAATCCGTTGATATATGACCAGATAGTCCGGATACTGCTTTTTGAGAAAAGGGGTGGGGGGTGATTGAGTGAGGGTGGGGTGCACACTATTGAGAAAGGAAGGGTACACACTTTATTTCACGCGAGTTTCAATGGTCATTTAATAAACTTTCGGGAGGGGCACCCTGTAACACCCCATCCCCCCTCTGGATACACCTATGTACATGAATACGTGCAAACACCTAGTTGCGGGTACAGCAACGTGCAGTGAACTTAGACAAAGTACTATGTGTCCCAGTTCATCCAGCTGTGAATGGGTACCTCGTTAGGATGAGAAGGAACAATAACTCGGTGTGCCTTGTGGCAGCAAGAGTTGTATACTCCCCAGGGAGTTGAGATTGAAAATATGACGTGCCGTTGAGATTGACATCCAATGATCGAGGGAAAATATACCAGCGCCTTGAGCATGCACTTTAGTTGCGTGGATATGTGCGCTATATAAATATCCTATAATAAAATAATAATAAATAATTTACTGACCCAGCCCCTTGTGGAATGTGAATGTCTAATTCATTAATCATGGGATTTTAGGCATGCAATGACTTGGCTGCATTTGTAATTCAGGGTGATCATTGATGACCATGCAGTGTCCATGTGGCAGACTCATATATTGGTACATAATATGAACCGGTTGACGCGTGTCATGGAGTCCCAACTGCGAAGGTTGATGCTCATGCTGTTGATCACTGGATTGTCTGGTCCAGACTCGATTATTTACAGACCGCCGCCATATAGCTGGAATATTGCTGAGTGTGGCGTTTAACAACAAATAAACAAACGTGTACGTAGCTTTAAAGTTGTAAGGTTTATTACCTTCTTGCCACTTAATTACACTACCTTTTACACTTACGCCTAACAGAGTGGGTGAGTTTCGTTTTACGCCGCTTTTAGCAATATTCAAGCAACATAACGGCGAAGGGAAACTAGAAATGGGCTTCACACATTGTGCAATGTGGGGAATCTAACCCGTGTTTTGGGCGTGGCGACAACTTGACTACCCCACACCCAACACTTAACAGAAAGAACAAAGTACTTGTTAGAACATTAATTTAGTAAGCTTTTCTCTCAGTCCAACTTCCACTTCTTATTGCATGCTTGCAGTTCAAGTTCTTGATATCATCTGTTCACTTAAATCATTAAATTCTGACTTTAATACATAGGTGAGGTGAGGTGAGGTGAGGTGAGGTGAAATTGGGTTTTACGTCGTGCTTGAGAATATTTCGCTCATATGACGACGTGCATGCGTGTGTATGTGTATGTGCGGCTGCTTGTACTAGCCCAGACTGAAGCTGGTTTTATAGTGCTAGCCCACTGAGATACCATGCCGCAGTGAAGCATGAATACCCCACTCAGACACATTATACTGACTAAGAGCAGACCAGTCCTTGTTGTACCCATTAATGCCGAGCGCCAGGCAGAGACCGACAAGTACCATATTTTAACGTCTATTGGTATGACGCGGTCGGGGATCGAACCCGCGACCGTCCGCTCTCCGGGCGGACGCTCTAACCACTACACCACGGAGGCGGTTGACCTTAATACATAACATTCAAATATCGTATAACCTTTCTGTAGCATAATGGGTAGTATATGGTTTGGATTGTTGTTTAACGCTGCAATATTCCAGCGACACGTCAGCGGTCTGTAAATCCAGACAATCCAGTGATCTGCATCATGAGCATTGATCTACCTAATTGGGATACGATGATGTGTCAACCAAATCATCGAGCCTGACCACCCAATCCCCTTGTCGACAAGGGGATATATATTGTATACGGACATCTGTAATGGTGCACTAATAGACGCGAGCCAGGCTTGCCAATCTCACACACACATATATTACTGCATACATGAGATTGGCAACACTGGCTTGTGAATGTTAGTGCAGTGCAGCTGATCACGTAGTCTGTCTCACAGTCCCTGAGCCATTTTATTTTCCCTACAGCCTAGCCATCCTTGCAGTAAGCCCTAAATGAAGCAAGTCTAGATTTCCCCAGGTTCTGAATCTCTGGCCTCCTGGGGCTCCTTTTCAATTTAAGTGGGTTTATTTGTTACAATCAAATTTATATATTCAGAGACTAAGCGTTAGCTTACAGATCATGCTCTCAGCAGTTATTTAAACTGTCTGCTATGCAACATATCAAATACTTTATATGTTTTCGATGGTCATTATATTTGTAATATTTGAAGGTACACAATTCCATTCATATTTTGCATCTTTGTGTTTCAATCTATAGTCCAGGGCCTAGATTTTCGAAGCTCTCTTAGCGCTAAGATAGTCGTAAGTTAATGTTAATGTATGGCACTTACGATTATCTTAGCGCTAAGAGAGCTTCGAAAATCTAGGCCCAGATATGTTGAACTGGGTGTTTTGACAAAACATCATTACTGAAAGCGATAAAAGAGCTAGTTGAGTTTTATTCCTTTTAATGCAATATTCCAGCAATAGCCACCAAAAATGGGCTTCACACACAGTATCCATTTGGGCAATCAAACCGTGCGTGATGAGTGAAGGCTTTAACCACTTGCCTACTCCGCCCCAAGTGATAACAGCTAGGGAATACCTGTCAATATGTGTACAGATGTATCTGATTCTATTTCATATTTACTTACATTGTAGTTCCATTTTTTATTGCTCTACAGTGACTCAACATATTTACACAGCACAAAATAAACATTCTACTCTGGAGCAATTTGTTATCATTTGGGACTCCACCCCTACCGACCATATACAGCACTGTCATATTTCTGCACGTCATCATGACTCTGAAAATTCAATGTCAATGAAACTTTGTTGGTATAAATGGTAAAATATGAGTGAGTTTAGTTTTACCATGCTTTTAGAAATATTCCACCAATATCATGACAGGGGACAGAAATGGGCTTCACACATTGTATCCATGTGGGCAATCGAACCAGGTCTTTGGCATGACCAGCAAACGCTTTAACTACTAGGCTTACCCATAGCCCCCAATAGTACTGCAGCATAATTTTCCCAATAGTACCTTTAAACAGTATGTTCACATACATGAAGTTCTTACTCCTGAGAGTTAATGTCAGTGGATCCTTCCAAATAGATTGTAATACAACACTTAAATTACCTACATTTGTTATTAAGAGAAAGGACCCCTAAGGATGCGGGATATAATTGTTTTTCAGTAACCCATGCTTGTCCAAAGAGCCGACTAACGGGATAGGGTGTTCAGGCTTGCTGACTTGGTTGACACATATCATCGTATCCCAATTGTGTAGATCGATGCTCATGCTGTTGATCACTGGATTGTCTGGTCCAGACTTGATTATGTACAGACTGTCACCATATAGCTGGGGTATTGCTGAGTGCAGCGTTAAACGACAAACAAATATTGTATTTGTATGCATTACACTGTCAGAACTCTGAGGAAACAATGTTCTGGCATCCACGTCTTTACTGCTGCCGTATAGCTGGAATATTGCGAGTGTGGCATTAAAACAACAAACTATTTAGAGAAAATAATGGGAAATGACAACAACAACACATATCAAAAACAGATCAAGGTTTATTCGTAAGCATTGTATTCATAACACTGAAGATTATACCAGCGATGGACAACAGTCGAAGGATCTGCAGCCTACCCAGCCTCCCGTGGGGACAAGTAGTCATCTGCAGCCACAAGGATGAACAGGCAGGACCCAACATCCTTAAAGAGGGACTAAGCTCTGCTAATTGGAAGTCCCAGCACATTTCAAATCACCACAGCTCTTTATCAAATCTCATGTAGCATTTAACAAAGATCAATAATTCACTTAAACAATGTCTGTTTCACGCATGGCACAATTACAACATTGATAGATTCTAGCTTCACCTGCGGATGAGAAGCAGATCACCAAGTCCCCCTTTAATTGTCCCTTACACTGGTCTTGTCTGCCTGTGGTAATGTGCTCTTGGTATTCAATGTTTTAAAGGCCTATCACCCTCATTTTGTGTGTGCAATAGCCTCATAATAATTAAACATGAATGTGGAGGTACGATTTGGAGGTACAGGGCAAATTGTCTAATGCATAAGGGCACCGTAAATTCTATTTGAGCCCATACTGACCCATTGACCCACATGATAATCTAGTGGACTGATTCTTATTATTTTATTATTTATCATTTTCTCTTATCCATTTCAGTTGATTCAATTTGCTATTATCTATCATGCAGTAAACATGATTACAGGCTGTTTGATGATGGATTGTCTATTATTGCTTTATGTAATCAGGACTGCATTCGTAAAAATCATCTTAGTGAATTTGACAACAAAACAATTTTTCACTGTCACTTCCTTAACCAATTTTCTTTATGCTGCCATACGAGATGAACATTTTTTAGCCCAATCTGTAACTGAGATCAATACCATTTCGTTATAAATGTATGTTCTTTGTTGAACCTATGAACAAATACTTTGGCTGAAACCAATGACGCTCATATTCAATTGTGCAATGATCACACACAAATACAATCTAATGGTGATAATTATCCAAAAGTTGCAATTTAAGGAATAAATCAAAAAAAGATTAGAAAGCAAATTTCATGTTAGTTGTGCAGCCTTAACCTAAACAATCTGTGAATTTGATCAAGAACAACACATTTTTCATAGCATATACCGTAAGAAAACCCCCAGTTTTAATTAGGTTGTGAAATTGTGTGATATGTTCATGAAATAATCCAAATAACTCAGTTAACTTTTTAGGAAAAATAACAAGCTGGAAAAATATGATAGTAAACGAAATACATGAAATTCAGTTGAACTTACAATTAAGATCAATGAAATTAAGTCTAAATGCTCAAATTGTACTGAACCAACTGTGAACAATATTCAACATCAGTCATCGGTAAAGCTTATTACAATATGTTGTGTATATTTCCACGGTTAGGTCTGGAAACCTATACCCTGTTATCTCTTCCTCAAGGTCATCTTTGAGAAAGACAAAACATTAACTTGACATCTTCATCAATACTATTCAATGAAGTTGGTGTATCAGTGTCACAACAACCTAACAAACAATTAATCTTACGAATATAATTTTTATATATTCTTAAATTTGACATAAAATTTGTCCATATGTTGCCATCTGCTTGATATCCATTACTTGTGAAGTGAAATATTATTGGCCAGGTTTTATGTCTCTTGTTTGCCTGCCTGGATCGCATAACATTCAAAGCTCAGTTTGGATTACATCATGATTCTCGACCAGATCAATCTATTTGCTTGTTTTATTCAGTTTCCTGTTCGTTGCTATTAAGGGATTTATATGACTTAGTTATTCTGGGAGTGCAAGTGGACCCAAAGTCCAAACTTTAGAGGTCCCAGTTTAAAAAAGAAGGGTTCCCAGAGAAGTATAAAAAGAGGAATACTGTAATCTACTGCGGACAATACATGATTGTGCATGTACAGAGGCCGTTGGTTAATGTTTAACAAAAGACAGAGTTCTTCAACTGAAACCATCCATGTTAGTGTGAAAAGTTGGTGTAAAAAAAGATATTTTCGTAAATGAATACCTGTGAAATTATTTTTTAAAGCAAAACTGAACAGGTCATACTTCAACAGGTAATTAACGCATATCCATGTAAATTTGACTTGATCTACATTCATTTTCTATAGAAACATGTTACCGATACAAAAATCACAGAGGCCAATACATGGTAGAGATGCCAAATCAACAGAGACAAGCAGATTAATATGACAAACTTTGAACAGAGCAGCTGAAAACAATGACAAGATGGTCACCATGCAAGAAACTGTCTATGAACTGCCCTTACCACTAAACTGCAACAAAACAAATTACGTGAATACAAGTTTCCATGGTGATTGTACAGAGATAGAGATGATATTTTCAATTCTTGATACAGAACTTGGCGGCTGAAGAAGTGGAGGAAGTTGATGGGAAGGATGTAGATATCACTGGCTGTCACTGTTGATCAGAAGTGGGCAAATCACAATGGGCACGTTTAGAGGTTTTGTACACATTTACATACCAGGGTGCACGCCGGTTCAACGTCAGCGTATGTGTTATTGTCACTTTCTGGATTCATCAACATCATCAAAGAGTTATACATCATGGAGCACTAATCGGAATATTTCCTTAGCGATAAAAATACGGCTATCCTTCTGTGCAAGAACAAATGAATGCACAAATCCTAGTGGTGGGTCTTGATCAACCTGAAACAAAGCACAGCACATCTTAACATAAAAGGATGAGGTGAGGTGAAATTGGGTTTAACGTCGTACTTAAGAATATTTCGCTTATATGACGACGTGCATGTGGGTGTATGTGTGGCTGCTTGTACTAGCCCAGACTGAAGCTGGTTTTATAGTGCTAGCTCACTGAGATACCATCCCGCAGTTAAGCATGAGTGAGTGAGTTTAGTTTTACGCCGCTTTTAGCAATATTCCAGCAATATCACGGCAGGGGACACCAGAAATGGGCTTAACACATGGTACCCACACACGGATCAAACCCGCGACCTTCTGCTCTCCGGGCAGCCGCTCTAACCACTACACCACGGACGCGGTCATCAAAAGTATGTCGTGATTAACCTTGAATTATTTTGAGGATGACCAACATGACTAAGGGGTCCCTAATCTCCAGCATCATGGCTCTATGCATGAAACATTATTGGTAGCATCCATGAGATTCTGGGCCTAGATTTTCTAAGCTCTCTTAGCGCTAAGATAGTCGTAAGTGCCAGAAATGGACTTCACACATTGTACCCTTGTTGGGAATCGAACCCGGGCCTTCGGCATGACGAGCGAACACTTTAACCCCTGGGCTACCCCACCGCCCTAGACACTATGGAGTTAATAATAGTCTCTACTGAACACAAAAAAAAGGTTGGGAATAAATGTACCACAAGCTTGAATAGCTAGTGCAAAGAAATGTTGTGATTTGAAAATATAAACAAGAAGACAAAGTCATCAATATCCCCCGCAATGGCAAAATACTCTTCATGATTATGTCTACGAGTTATGATTATGTCAAATATTTAGGTGTGTATATAGAAAAGAGGAAGGAGAGTATTGAAAGATTTTAAAGTTCTGCTCCAGAAAGCAGCACTACCAATTTCAGTCTAAGTCAAACTTGTTGCCATGGAAATGCCAAAAAATATTTTATTCAGAATTTCAAAACAACCAAAAGGCACCAGTACACCACCAGACCAAGATATGTGCCAAGTTTGGTGAAGAAACATCGAACGGTTTTAGAGTTCTGCTCCGGAAAAGAGCACAACCACCAATTTCAGTCTAAGTCAAACTTGTTGCCATGGAAACCAAAAATATTTTATTCAGAATTCCAAAACTACCAAAAGGCACCAGTACACCACCAGATCTATCTATGTGCCAAGTTTGGTGAAGAAATGGTGAACAGTTTTAGAGTTCTGCTCCGGAAAAGAGCATTACCAACAATTTCAGTCTAAGTCAAACTTGTTGCCATGGAAACGCCAAAAATATTTTATTCAGAATTCCAAAACTACCAAAAGGCACCAGTACACTACCAGATCTATCTATGTGCCAAGTTTGGTGAAGGAATATTGAACGGTTTTAGTGTTCTGCTCCGGAAAAGAGCACTACCAACAATTTCAGTATGTCGAACTTGTTGCCATGGAAACGCCAAAACTATTTTATTCAGAATTCCAAAACTACCAAAAGGCACCAGTACACCACCAGATCTATCTATGCGCCAAGTTTGGTGAAGACATATCGAATGGTTTTAGAGTTCTGCTCCGGAAAAGAGCACTACCACTAATTTCAGTCAAAGTCGAACTTGTTGCCATGGAAACGCCAAAAATATTTAATTCAGAATTCCAAAACTACCAAAAGGCACCAGTACACCACCAGATCCATGTATGTGCCAAGTTTGGTGAAGAAATATTGAACGGTTTTAGAGTTCTGCTCCGGAAAAGACAAATGTGCACGGATGGACGGATGCACACACGCACGCCACACGGACGGAGTTCATTTTAATACCCCCGCAAAATCGTGTTGCGGGGGATAAAAATGTAATCAGTAGAAGGTTTGACGTTGTAAATGTGAAGTCTGTGTGGGTTTTATTATTTGTGGGGGAAAAGGTGAATAAACTTTATGAATGAATGGGAAAGACATTCAGGACAGTTGGTAGCTATGTGGAAAACTAATCAATCACTCAGTCAATATAGTTAATTGGAACAGCCATGTTTTGGCTACACAAGTACTTGTAACGCAAGGTGGTGCAGGCAATGTTAGATGGCCCTTCCTAGGACATGTGTACTCACCTTCTGCTGTCCCATGATGTTCACCAAAAGGTAGCCATTCTCTATAATGAGGGCATCAACGGCAGAGCACATTCTTGCCATGTTACCTGGCAGGTTCTGAAAGTGAAGTTGAATGTAAGATTACTTCTGTAACCAGTCTAAGTAAACTTAGGCTCAGTATTATTTGTTACACTGATATACTGAGTCTAACAAAACCTTGTGGAAGGTCGCGTCAGATAACCTTTGAGCGACCTATGACCGTCCAATCAAAGGCGAGACGGCCGAACGGATTTAACCAATCAGACAACGGCTACTATTTAGGGTTCGGCGGGACTTACAAAATGGATTTTCTCGTCCCCGGTCGCCAAAACTGATCTCCCAACAAATGAAAATCTGCATAAAACACTGATATTTGACTTGCAGTATATACGCATTGGGGTTCCAGTTGACATGGTTATAATAAGCTAATATTTCCGAGATGACATGCTATAATACTGACAAAACGCTATTTTCAGCGAATGTTTACTCACAGCTGTGGCATGCATCACTAGGAACCGATCGTATGGAAAATAGCATTTGGAATCGTTCGGGTCCAAACTTTTTCGAGGTAAAAGTTTGAAAGGTATGTGCAAATGTCCACTTTCGCGATTTGGTAAGCTGTGTTCTGATTGGTCAATTGGAAAGGTTCCCTGACGCGACCTTTCACAAGGTTTTGTTAGACTCAGTATAGCAGTGTAACAAATAATACTGAGTCTAAGTTTACTTAGACTACTTCTGTAACACAACACCCACTACAGGCTTTAACAGGGCCCTGTTACACAAAGCGATCTTACGCTCTGCTGATCAAAAGTCCAGGTTAAAAATTCAATTCTTTATCACCTCAGTTCCCAAATTTCAATCATTACAAATGAATCCAACAAAGGACAGAACTATTCCTTCGAAAATAATACATCAGAGCCAATTATGTTTTTGCTTTGGGAATTCCCTGACAATATTCTTTTTTGGAATTGTAGAAATCTGATACATTGAGGAAATAAAAATTAACTCAATCATACTGAGAATAGAAGCCTGACCACTGCCTGGCTGATTAGAAAATGCTAAAATGGTGTTTTAAGTCTCCTTGTATTGGCACTGTTACCCATCATATGTATCATGATGAAAAATACTGACATCGTGCACTGCCTATGACTATGCTTAAGTGTACACAACACTGAAAGAACTTGTGTACACAAAGGAATTTTGACCAGCACACATGTAGATATTAAGAGAACAGTCAGCTACTGAAGAGTCTGAATGCAAATCAGGGTTAGAAACTGATTTGTATTTTCACTAGTCCATACACATTATCTGCTACAGAATTTCTTAATGGTAAATGTGGTAGTCCACAAGGAAACATCACCAGTCCTTCTTTATTAGGCCAAATAAAAAAGAAATTGTGGTTCCGACTACACCTCTTTAAAATTTAGGGTAGGTAGGTTGGATTTTGTTTTTTTACACATTATTTTTAGAAGTAAAGTACAAACTAAGAACACATTTATCAATGTGTAATTGTTTATTCAATCAAGCTTGCTGCCATCATATGACTTTCTCTATCAGAATGACCGATATCTGTTGGTGTTGGGAAAAACCAAGGTATCTGAAAGCTTATTTTATTCATTCCGCTGAAACAAAATAGGGTCGGCACCAGAAGTCAAGGGTCGGTCATGTAATCAGAACCACAACATTATTTTTTTTAGGCCTTAATACTCATCACTGGCAACTGAGCTTATATGAATTAATAACTCTGTAACATTAGCTAGTCATACAGGGTTTTACATAGCTCTTCGAAACTAGGAGTCCTGGGGACTCAGGGCATATTTCTTTGAGAGTCCATTTCCAAAATTGGGAGTCAATCAATTTGCATGAAATCAATGATAATGGATGCTTCCCATTTGATAATGATTACATTATGATATGTGTTACTTTCAATGTCATTAGAATAATTATTGTAAATAAAATGTTTACACATAAATATTGGATGTCATTACAAACTCAGAAAGTTCTTTCCCAGAAAAAAATGATATATTCCGTCCACAAGGACTCACAGGATTTTAGTTTTGGGGTACTTCACCAAATTTCTGCATCCAATACGCAGGAATCTTGCGTCCCATAAAACCCTGGTCATATCTGTACTTGCAGACAGCTAGTACAGCACACATTATTCAACCTATGCTGGATACAAAATATATCTGAATACTTCTTATAGACTGATATTCAACATATTCTTCACCACCACCAAATGCTGTTTTTATTAATGCCAGTTTTAAAGCCTAAGTCCACTGAGACATGCCTCAGTTTAAAATGAATTCCCTTCTGAATCATTCCCCAAGTCATCCAACCCGTTTGATCACCTTCATTAAACCCTGATTTGATATGACCTTGTACAATGTATTATGCATGTGGTCAGGATGTAAACACAGACCACAAGTTGGATGTTACTGTGTAATATGATAACTTATACTTAGATTACCATTAATTTCTCCATGACAGCTTGCTTTCCTGTGTACAATTGTCCTTCATACATCATCTGGGTTTCATCCTGAAAACAGAATTGTTCAGAAATAAATATTCAATACCTTTGGTGTTTGTATTGGTATGTATATCATTTAATGCAGCACTCAACAAAGTTTCAGCTACATGACTGCTGCATGTTCAAGAATCCTGAGGACAATATCATGAGCAACAATACACACTGTCTTAACCAGAATGTCTACAGGAGTGTCTTTGTCAAATGAGTCATCTACTGAACACAAACATTTCTTTTGAAAAGGTATTTGGTTGAAATTCATTAACTTGAAAGCACAGTGTTGTCAAGTGAATATTATAAACATACCGACACTGATCAATCATTAGTTTAACACAGGCACTATTCACAATAAAATAATGCTCACTAACCAAGTGATCAGCATCTGTGCTGCATAGTTGCTATATTCCTCCACTAAACCATGAAACTAAATGAATTTGAAGATTTTCCTGAAAATTTGACTTGATCAATCTTTTGAACATTAGTCCAATAACCTTTACTCAAATTCACATAACCATAAGGATAACCAAAGGAGTACCTTTTCCTTAGGATCATTAAGATCGTTTGATTGTCAATGGAATGTCAAGACCTAAGGATACTGTTAAGGGTTGTTTCATCGTATAGCTAAACCATATGATCTTGAAGGGATTCCACGGGCAAAGTATAGAGTAAAATAGGGTTACACTTGTGTTACCCTGATTCGTGGATATAAGTGAAGTGCACCAAAATCATATTTTAAATGCACAATTTCATTTTGTATACTCACTGATTATTTTATTCACTGATTCAGCAAACTGAAAATACCTAATATTCAACTCGTGAATGAAACATTTGTTTACCAAAGCCATTTGCAATCATCACCCATTGACTGTTACAATATATCACTATGTACGACAGCCCATTGCAGTAAGTATTGACACCCAGGAAAGCAGACGACGAGATGTTAGAAGGTTGTTGATAACGGTATCTTTTTAATTGACATTTTGTAAACATAAAATTTGGTATTAGGGGCATTAGTGCTCTTGGGCTATTTATCTCAGTGTTGGGCAATTAAGATTCAGTGTGCTTACGTGTAATGCAGAGATTCGGAACATATTTGTCAGTGAGGTGTGGTATTGTGTGTACATCAAAAGTACCGCTTCGTGACATCATACAAGACTTAATTAACGAGATAGCATGGTTATTACCGAGATCCACGAATCAAGGTTATCCACGAATTTAGGTTACGGTTCTGTATCTACTCTAACAGTATGGACTGAAGAGGTGCAGATCAGTGAGGTTGGATTGCAGATGGAATCACATTAGAGCTATTTAAGATGCACACTGTAAACTGCAGTTTGCCTTAGTTGTAAACTTTGAAACATAGCATTTGGCAGGACCTACCATTAATAACTAGTCATTACATCCATCATCCGGAAGAGACTCACCTCTCAGACAATCTAACTGTCATTACAGCACTTGTGTAACAACACACAACTATATACGTAGACATACAACAACATAATCATGAAAGTTGATGGGAGAAAGTGAATTGCAAACATTCTTGTGAACGGTGATGCAGGTTCAGAGATCGGCAACTTCACAAGACCTTCGGGCTATTATCTAACATATCACCGTTTACTGTAAATCTACGTCATTTCAAAATTATTTCCCTCAAAACAAGCATCCGGCAACATCTTACGATTTGAGTTCGCCTCACCCCTGAAATGGAGACGGGAATGCAGTACGAATGTTTCGCCGCAGTTTGACATACCGTGTAAACATGAGTCAGATTTTGTCGTAGTACGATCTTGTCTAAAGTTTCATAGTAGTTTTGAACGAACTGATGGGCAATGAGTTTACATTGTTCCATTTCCCCCATTTTGCGATCGTGAGCACCTTGCGGTGATTTTCGAAATGCACGTTTGCCAATCTCGCGAAACTACATTCGGAACAACTCGGCTGTGTACGACCCGGTACTCAAGTCCGTTTTCGTGAAGTTCAATATGTAAGTTCCGATTGCGATGATGGCGCGATTTAGCGAGATTGGGTTCTACAATCTCACAGATTCCATAAAGGAACGAATGAGTACATGTTAAACGTTTTTGAAAAAAAAATAGTTGGAAAGTGGCACTTATATATTGTTATGAAATACAAACATGATAAGCCTCACAGGTGGAACATTACGGAATTTGTGTACATGACTAAACAGTTTATTCTAATTTCGGATAAACCGCAAACATATTTTTAACAGAAATCGGGAAAACAAAATTACAGGCGGTATTTTCAAGATGTTATGGTTATAAAAAAGGTATATTACACATTCTGAGAGGGAAGAAATCTAATTAAGCACATAGATTATGATTTACAAGGCATACACTAACTGGCTCATAAGCCTGCTATCTTTGTCAGTGGAACTTGTAAGTGTATCCATGGAAGTTCAGGTTGATTTTGTTGGCGACCAAAATCTCGGGAAATGTGTAGACTGTTATTAGGTATGATTTATCAAATGATTTATCAAATAACAGGGCCGGATACAGCTTTTTGAGAAAGGGGGTGGGGGTGCTCACTATTGCACACTTCATTTTCACGAGAGTTTCAATGGTCATTTAATGAACTTTCAGGACAAAAGGGGGGTGCGCACCCCTGCAATTTTAGTGCAAACCCCCAACCCCCTCTGGATCCGCCTATGAATAAATACACTTAACTCGAACTCCGGTAAGAGTTCCTCCCGTTCCCACATCCCAAATAATATTTATCAATATACTAAAATTATTAACAAAACTTAACACAACAATTACTAGAGAACTCACAAAATGACTAACAGTCCAAAATTTATGCTAGGGTTAGGTTTAGGGTTGGGGTTACGGAAGGAACTCTTTCCCGATCTCCCAAGCCTATGTAGGGTTGTTGTCGACAATGTACAAACAGTACCTTTCATCATATAATTCACACGACTGTTTATGTGACAGTGAGATACAAATCATGATTTCAATTTTGTCATCGTCGGCAAGGGTAGTACAGATGTGTTCCAAATTTTACAGAAACGTACCCTAGCCCAAATTAGAATACAGAAACATACCCTAGGACGAGTCCATTCTGCAGTGTGTCTTTTTCTTGATCGGAACCTTCATACTGTTGTATTAGATCCATTTAATTGCATTATATAAGAAATGAGCATACACAGTAGCGAATATTTCACAATGCACAATACCACTTGCAATCAGTTGAACAGGATCATCTACATGTTGCGTCTAAGGTACCAGGTAGATTCTACATTTCTGTGTTTTGACGTTTTTAGGGTACATTTCTGTACACGGAAACACACCTTGAGTACATATGTGTAAAACCTGATGACCACCTTTAGCGTAAGTATGAGAGAGATAAACTCACCTCAGAAAATTGGTAGCATAGACTCAATATGTTATAGGTAGTTTATGTTGATATGCATACAGATATGAAATACAAATTCACCTGTCCTTGCTATTGTTTGTTGTACAATAATGAGTCAGCGTCTCTTTGGTATGTTCATGTAAAATGTAATACTAACTACAGGAGAGGGATTCATTCGAATAAACCTTCTAATCTATCTTGTCAAAACAGATTAACACAAAATATATATTGCCAATATGGTGTGAGTCAGTGTTGTGGAACAGAGGTTTCTAAAACTGGAAATTCTAGTAGACTCTATTTAGTATGTTCAAGTACATACGTTTGTATGAAGGAACAAAGTGAGAAATATACCAGGGATAGAAATACATTTTTTTTAAAGTGTGCCTTAGGGCACCAGGCAAAGATTTTAAGCGTGCCTTTCAGAAATCAAGTGTGCCCACATCTTTTTCAGAATAAATGACTATAGCAATGATGATGATAATTTGAAGAATTTTGTGACAGGTTCACTTGTTCAATATATCAATCATACACAATTACCTCCTCAATACTCGAACTATCAGTACTCCCATCACTCTAAATGGAAAAACAACCACATTTTTTTATATCATCCATCATAATTCCAGTGATTTCCTGGGCGATAAAGTCAATAAATGTTTTTAGCTGTTTGTAATTGCGTAAGTGTTTTGTTTTGGGGATTAAATGACTAGAGGTGAGTTATGTCTCTAAAACTTTAGGCGTGTCTTAAGGGCACCAAGAACCTTTTTTATCCGTGCCATTTAAATAGTTAGTGTGCCATGGCATGCTAATATATGGGGTATTTCGAACCCTGTATACCATTTGAAAATGAGTTTCATTTCATCACCTATGGGGGCGGTGGGGTAGTCTAGTGGTTAAAGCGTTGGCTCGTCACGCCGAAGACCCGGGTTCGAATCCCCACATGGGTACAATGGGTGAAGCCCATTTCTGGTGTTCCCCGCCGTGATATTGCTGGAATATTGCTAAAAGTGGCGTAAAACCAAACTCAGTCAGTCAGTCATCACCTATGAAGAACCAATTTTGGATGGATAATTTCAACAGCAGCCAAACTGTGCAGTATTCCAATACTCAGGGATTTACAGGACGCAAATTCCTGCATCCTATACGCAGAAAAATTGACAACAGATGCAACAAAATTTATTAGCGCGTCCACAGGGACACAGAAAAAGTCCAAATGCTTTTTGTAAACATTTTGATCAAGTAACAATAAGTTATCATTGAGTCTGCTACTAATTTGCAATTTAATTACTGTAACAATGTGATGATCATGATACACAATACAATAACAGTAACTGAATTACAACAATATTACAACATAGTATTAATAATAATATTTAAGTTTTGTAGTCCAGGACACCTGAAAATTAAGAGTATGAGTCCCAGGGACCCTCCAATACAGGCCTCAATGTTAATCCCTGGATACTGGTATGCAGGTGTGTCATAACATGTGAGACATATGTGCTATGTTTATGCTGGAATTTTATGTATGAAGGCTTGCATGTGTGAATAATCACTAGATATCTTATGCATTGATAAGTTCCAGAAATATAATAATACAGCAGAAATCATAGATCCATGTATTGTTTTTTTATTTGTTAGGAAAATGTCATCAAAGCACACTCCACGGAACTTGATCCAACAATATGCTGACAATGTTGCGACAGAGAAAAGCACCCATCCAACGAGGAAGAGAAGGCCTGTATCTCAGTCGCCAACATATGGTTCATCTTCCAAATCAGCTTCTGCATCAAAGCGACAGCGAACTGCCACTGAAGAGGACTTAACTCCAAGGCACCTTGTATGTGAATGGGTTTGGATATTAAGAATTGGTATAGATCTTTGTATAGTGTCTTATTCCCCTTTTTAGTTTGCTTTTTCATACCCCCTGCCAATACATTTCCTCTTTGCACCCATCTTGTCCCTCTCTGACCCCGTCCCTTTTCTCTCTCTCTCTCGCACGCACCGCACGCACGCACACACACACACACACACACACTTTATTAGATGAACAGTTTCCACAGTAGTGGACCCATGAAGATCCAGGTTAGACCCATGCTTTTTGTAAGAGGCCGACTAACGGGATCAGTTGGTCAGGCTTGCTGACTTAGTTCACACAAATGTGTAGATCGATGCTCATGCTGTTGATCACAGGTTTGTCTGGTCCAGTCTTGATACTTTACAGACTGTAGCTGGAATATTGCTGAGTGAGGTGTTAAACAACAAGACAAAACCCACAGTAGTGTGCAGATATATATTTTTGGATATTTGAAAGAATAGTAATGTGTCAATTTTTTCATGACACGACCAAACAAACTAAAACCCTAAGCCCACCCACTCATCTCCCTTCCTTTTCCCACAGGAGCAAACACACCCTATTACAAATGACCAGTCCCTGATGATGTTAGTCATAGTCATGGTTTTACCTCAAATTAGTTCAACTATAGTATTTTAATACATGTTTCAAGAAATACGGTATCTAAAGCTGAAATGAACGTACCTTTGCAGACAGATTCACACGATATTTCAGATTCAAGGTTTTATTGACACACAAGATACTGCAGTTCCATCAACACGAAAGAGCAAGAGAGTTGGGGAGTTACCTCCCCCTTCCTCCACCAAGGTAAAAAAATCACGACGGCGATCCTCCCTTGGGATTCCATCTATGGATAAAGTTGTTAATGAGTTTACACCAAGGACAATGATCAAAGGCTTTTTGGATCAAGGTGAGTGTTATCGGAAACTGCTGCTTTCCCAGTGTTCACGAATAGTGTCTGACCCTCTGAAAAATCCGGCAGATTCGTTGGTGGTCCGATGGAAGTCTACCACCTGCCGGCCCCAGTGTCCGACTATATGTTTCACAATGACTTTGACTGAAGTTGTCGTATGTGACACATCACACTTGTTTGCTGTTTACAAATGTTACGTTTGTTAATAATTTCAATGCCACTTATAAGAAGTGTTAAATCTGAAATGTGTATTTAATTTTTATTCTATGGGTCCTGTGAATTTTCAGTGGGTCAGACATACCTCTGAAACTTACAGGACGCAATGTCCTGTTACTTTGAAACACCATTCGTGAACACTGCTTTCCTTACAGTGTACTGTAAAATTAGGTTTCTAACTGTTTGATACACAGTTCCTATGTTGCTGTATTTAAGTAACTATGTCTTGACACCTTCAGCTGCAATGTTTTGTGAGATGAGGAAATGAGATAAGTGCTTGCAATAATTTTTCCGCTTCCAGCAAGCAAGGTGAGCTTGATACTCCTAAATGTAACAAGCACATCTTGAACATTGATGGCTGTGTATTTGGAATTACTTTTTAGTCTGTAACCAGCAACAAAAGTTGAGACGTTTGGTTTTTGATTTCTTTACTTCAGAGTCATTAACATTTCTGAAAACTGTATTCAAAGATAATACACTTGATATGTTAAGCAAAGATAGTTCACTGGAAAATTTCAGCAAAGATAATCTACTTGATATATTTGGTAATGACAATTTTAATTGTAGGTTTGGAACAAACGCCAGAAGTGAGAGTTGCCAAGGGAGATAAATCTGTTGCCCGGTCAAGTGTGGGAGACCTTCCCAACAATGAAGTGAGCTTCCAACCCATAGAAGCCAGGTAACTGCTTTAATCAACTACACAAACAGTATAGAAACCTTCTTGTGACAATTGGGCCGGTGGGGATTGTGTTTTGGTCTGTGGTATCACTAGTGGCTACAATATCTAGGGTATCAATGGTGCTGCTGGGTTAGATTAAGTCTTCAGTAACTATGATAAATGTAAGAGGTGACCAATTTTGGTGTGTGACTTGTTTGATTGTGTGGATCAGATGATGAGCAATCTTCTCTGGAATGTATGTATACATGGTGTTATCATAAAGCTGGAACAGTGCTGGGATAAACAGCAACAATGTCATTACTGTATGTAAGGAATGAAAGTTATTTTTATATCAACTGTTGGAGAGAGTGAGTATGGCTTTATGCTGCTTTTATCAATATTCCAGCAATATTACAGTGCTAGACACCAGGTACATTGTACCCATGTAGGGGAATCAAACCCGGATGTTGTGCTTTGACCATACAGCAACTACACTGACCAGCGTCCTGATCCACAAACTGTTCATAAAGTTACGACCTGTCGTAGCTCCATAGTTTATCATAGGCTTACGAATGTCGTAGCGCTACGAACGCTTTGGGGATCGGGACCCAGAATCTTTGGAACAGGATCCTTAAAACATACACTAGTTCACAATTACCACCTGTGAGGAAAGACTCATTACGATACTTGCTTCCAGTTTTCATGAGAATAAGCTGACCAAGCAAGCACGGAAGTCCCGTGGTGGCAGGCAGAGGCTGCCCATCAACATCGTCCGTCGTAGAAGTGAAAAACTTGCCAAACAGCAGCAGACTGGAAAAGAGCTGGAGTTCTCAAGTGAAGAAGAGGAGGAGTACAGTGCCGAGGAACAGGTAAACAATGAGATGCCAACAATAATCCTGCTGTATTATCATCCTAATAATTGTGTTAAGACACAGTTTTGTGTATTTGTCTAGATTCTCAAGATCGCATGCTTGTTGTTTTACGGTGCACAGCCAAAAATATTCCAGCTATATGACGGCAGTCTGTACATAATCAAATCTGAACCAGACAAGTCTGTGATTAACATTATGAACATCAATTTATGTAATTGGTAAGCGATGATGTTTCACTCTCACTCACTCACTCACTCACTCACTTGTATATTCAGACTATGGAGATAGGCAGAGAAGCTAACAGATCAAGGAGAAAGAGTGCACACAGGTCCTTGCATGATGTATCCGACACTTCAGCCAAAGATGATACGTCCGCTTCGGAATCACCAAGGAAGTCACTGTCCCATAGCAGAGTCACACCGTCCAAAAGACAGTCCATGGCTTCTTTGAAGAATGTTTCTGGTGTTACACCCAGCAAGAGTTTGTCTATGTCTCGTGCTGATGCTCACCTCTCTCCAGATAGTAGTGTCAAGACCAGGACACCTAAGGAGACCAGATCGCCAAGAAGAGGCACTCCCAGAAGCAACAGACGCTCAGGCAGTATGTCAGTGTCTCCCAGATCCACTGTCAGTGATTACAAAGTCAAAAGTGCACATGCCATGGAGCAAGGAGGAGGGGACATGATAGCAGACGTGGAAGAGGATGTGGATTCTGAAGGGTCTTCTGTTATTAGAGAGAAAAGTGCATCGAAATCGAAATCAAGAATAGACGATGATGAGGAATTGGGTTCTGACCATGAACAGAGTCAAAACAAATCCAAGTCCAGAAGAGATAGTTTATTGGACAGTACTTCAAGCAGACATGATGAAGGTAGCAGGCCTGATTCGAGGGCAAACTTATCAAGATCAAGGTCAAGGTCAAGAGTTGAAGATCAGGGTCATTCGTCTCCAAGTCGAGGTGATTCCAGGCTGGGTTCCGAAAAAAAATCACGTTTGAGTGTAAAGGATAGACCAAGCCCTAAATCGAGGTCGATGTCCAAATCAAAACTGGCAGAAGGATCAGATAATGAAGATGAAGGTAAGTTATTTTTGATGACTGAAAGATGAAATGTCTTTGTTTCTCATACTGTGTTGTCCCTATACTTAAGGATTGGGTTGGTACCATATATATGACCTAGATGATTGAATGCCATTGAACCCCATGTTACAGAAAATGATGATGACTTGTCATCACACATGACAAAGAGCACCGGCTATATACCGTATGACTTTCCTGAAGACGAGCCTCGTAGTGGCCGGTCCTCTCCTAGGCACACGTCAGGACTTGTGGACAATGTCTACGACTTCCATGATGATAGCCCTTCCAAAAAGATCATTGGAAAATTGGTGCAGACTTTACAACAATCTGCATCAGCAGGTAAACATCGTTTTGAATTAAAGGCAGTCCTGGAGCATTTGAGGTTTATACATACGTTTTGTCATTGTGAGCCAGTTTGTTCTTATATTTGTGCTTCATGTTTGGTTAAGGAGATGTTTATGTTCTGTTGTCTGAAGAAAATAATTACCGTATATTACCGTCTATAAGCCGAATTTTGAGGACCCCAAAAAACAACACAAAAAAACGTTGCAATTTGCGGAAACATTGATTTGTAATTTTAAAAGACATTATTTTTCCTTATCCTGACTCATGCTCTTTTTGCTTGTCTTCTTCTTCTTGCGAACATAGTGGAACACTTGTATCTCCCTAATTGAAGCTCCCTTCAATTTAAAATCACTAATTAGTATTCACCACGAGTTACCTCCTTTCCACAAGCGCGGGAACGAGGGCGCCACCTCTACCCATGTGCCTCACTCTCTCCTTCTTCGCCCAGTGAGCTGGACGTGAGAGCGCCTGTGTCTCCCGACACACTATATCCTTTGAATTATATTTAGTTAGTTACCTCGTATAGACATCTATAGAGGTTTAGCTAGTATCCTTCAACGATTATATATTGATATTTAGTCGTTTTTCTACAGTTTATTCAATGACCGCGTTTGTTTCAGTGGATTACGTTGATGAAAATTCTGTACTATTGCAGATTACGCTTTTATGCTGCTGCTGATCCGCCTTTAATATGATGTACGGCCATGTTTATTATATTCACATTGCAGTTGCGGTACTAATTTATCCAATTCTACCTTTTATTAATATTTACTTTGCATTTGGCACGCACAGCAGATAGGTCGCGATGCAGAGTCTAGTATGACTGATACACGGAACCCCTCGCCAGTCTACTGCTGTTGGCCGACTCCCCCCGTGTGGTGTTCCGCTAGAGTGGTGGAGAGGTGTGGGGCGTAGTCCGCCATCTCCAAGAAGCATCCTGCTTCCCCAGACATCCCATCGCCGCAGCAGAAGACTAGAGGGTTTTTTCTACTACATCTCAACAACCGAGACCGCTCCCATCGGTTTTGGGCCTGTATGATGATCAGCCGGTCATCATACCGATGTACATCAAAGATTGACCGATGTCGGCACAGATCAGCATGCAGCCTGATGTACCAACGCAGATATGCGATGATCGTCCTGAGGGTCCCATCATTACCAACACTCAACGCGAGACGCCGCGACACCCAGGGCAGCGTCCGACCTCTGAGGGAAAATCAACGAAGTCTACTAGGACTTTCTCAACCGAGATTGTTCCAGCCGATGACCTGGACCTCTACGATGATCAGCTGATCATCATCCCCGACGCACGCCACAAGGAACGACCGGGACAGCTACAACGACATCAGCAGAGATCACCATGCAGCCTGATGCCTCTACACTGATGTCGGACGATTTTCCGTGGACCCCTCCATTAACACCGCAGATAAAGCACCGGCGACCTCGCCGCAGACCATCCCAGAAGACATGATGCGACAAATTATGAACATCATCATGGAGGACCAATATCTGCGTAGCAGGGTCCGAAGCCAGCGAAGGCTCCAACGTGACAGCACCCCAGAGGCACCCCCAATCCAACGTAGCAGCCAGGGCGATGTCACCTTCGCTGAAGGAAGTCACGGACCACCTTGACGAAGGACCTAGATGTACAGCCTTCGCTAAGGCCTTCGCTGGCGAAAGGACCTAGATGTACAGCCTTCGGCTGGGCGAAAGAACCTAGATGTACAGCCTTCGCTAAGGACTTCTTCGAAGGCAGGATAGATCATCACCTTATGCGTTTCATCCCTAGATGTGGACTCGACCATCAGACATCACGGAAGCCTTCGCTGAAGGTCATATCGTCGTTCCTCTCGACCGACGCAGAGGAAGCTTCGCGAAGGCATGCGCCAAGGACACCTGAATCCAGATCATCATCATCTAGAAGGACATCGAGGGACTATAAAAGAGCTTCACGAAACTATCAACGCCCCTCACAAGTCTCGAAAGATCAACCCATAGACAAGTTGATCATCGATATCAAGTATAAGAACTACCATCGTTATATTGGTTCTGTTGAATCCATGACGACGTGATGTTCGCTTGCCCTAAATAGATCTAGAACGATCAATTAGACACTTATCACCAGACTTCGTAATACGACTTCTGAATATGATAAGATGATCCATGCGGCCCTACTTAGGCAAGCGGCCACGATCCCACATCCTGTTAAACACAGAGGCTGTTCACGGCAAGCGCTCATATATATATATTTATATATATATATATATACTAATCTCGACACCTTCGCGATGGTCGCTAAGGCTAAAGTGGCTCCAAGTCTACTTCACCCAGAAGATCTAGAAGGGATACTTCGAGAACTTCTCGCTAAGTCTCATGCTCACCGAGGAAGTCTCCTCCAAGGGTTTCATATACTAGCCACTCGCCATATATAGCTACTTTCGTCCAGTCCGTTTCAAGACGCCGCATAAGTTGATTATCAACTGTATGCCAGATGCCGCCTATAAGCCTACTGCGAAGATAATTGCTCAGGCTATTTACAACACAGAACGCCGCTGTATTAATAGTCAACGACATTTCATAGATCTTCACAGAAATCAACTATTCCGTGATAAATTGCTAATATACAATCCCGGACGACGATACGATTATCTACATGCGACCATTACGCATATCTGCAGACAATTCAATATCGAAATTGAACAGCAGCCTTGTTACAGCGAAAGTATAACTCTTAATCGTCAAAGTTTCTGAGAAGAAATATGTACAACAAGTTCAACGCTTAATTCTACAATTATGACGATACATTCATGTATACAGTCTACAAGCTCACAACTTGCAAGTTGTTTATACCCTTATATATAAGGAAGTCGGAATTATATTCAAAACTGAAATTACTTTCACGACAACCAGGAAAATAACCTACCCAGCATAAAATTACAGAGCGAGATATTTCGCAATTTTCGCTACCGGAGGTTTCAGCAAGCGTTACCATTAACCCTCAAACACGTGGTCACTTTCGGATAACTTCGAAGCTACGGTGAAGACCGACGCTTATGCTAATATCAACGACGACAAGAATTTATTCAAGGTGGGTTTTTCCCGCTACACCGTGACATCACAGCGGGTATTATACAGAATCAAAATGCCTTGTTCTGATTGGACAGCGAGGACAACGACCTACACAGAGGTCGATCTCTATTCACAGTTCAAGACTTACGCCACAAGTGACAACTATATATCAGTGAACGAGCAAGCCTCATTACAGTCCAGTTAACCTGAACATTCATGATTAGACTGCCTTTCTTCAAGTTAGAGACCTCCCTGTCAAGTTAAGACGAGGGATCGGCAGTCAGGCGATTTTACATAAAGTTCAACGAGGACAGACACACCTGGTTGTGCACCTACATCGCCAAGGACTTCGCAGCTTAATTACCTAGACGAAGATACAAGTGGATCTAAATCCACAGCGTTTCAGACTACAGCTGAATTTCATCAAGCTTTACTAACACAACTAGATGGTTAGTAAACCTACTAAACTTCTGTTTGGAGAATAAAACGGAAATTTCACTACCAACCTGGGGATATGAATATAGTGCTCAACACCTCACAAGTGAGGTTTATGAACACGCCTGGATGACATACTTGGACCCCATGATACGATGATTCTATCAAGATGGCCAGCAAGAGCACTGTAAATTTATCTCCACTAAACCAAACAGGAGGAAAAATGCAACAGATTATTTCCTCTATCATCAACTTTACGCAGAGTGAAGTCTCATGTACTATATCTCCATTTGGATCAGAACTGTCATACTACGTGCATATATGGATGGACCTATTCCGACCCTCCATGAGCTTAATACTCATGATATTATAGCTAACTTCTACAATTGTTCTACACAAATGTGATTGAAATAATGGAGGGTTTATTTCTGAAATCGATATGGTGGTTGCAAACCATTATCTGAGAGATATCACCACCGAGGACGTCTCAGGTATACACCAATTCGATCCCATGGTCCCTCGCACAACAGCTGACAGTTCCTCGGAGAAGATAAGTCAATCTAACAGATTTTACTTATCTTATAACAATACTAAATAGCTTCATGCTATATATAATTTACTTAAGTTCCTTTTATCATCACAGTACTATGATTATTACATCATACAATATATAAGTTAACAACTCTACAGAGTTTGTTATTATATATATTTACCTTAAGTTATTCATATCTTAAGAGTAATACTATGGTTACATGATAAATGCATTAGCTAACAAACTCTACAGAGTTTTTGGCTATTTTATACATAGCTTAAGTTAATTAAGCTAACAAACTCTACGGAGTTTTACTATTATATAGGTAACTTAAGCTAATTATACCTTAAGCATAGTACTATACTCATATTATTAAAATATATTGGCTAACAAACTCTAAGGAGTTTTGCTATTATATAGGTAGCTTAAGCTTATTCATATCTTAAGCTTAGTACTATGTTTATATCATATAAGTAGATTAGCTAACAAACTCTAAAGAGTTTTTTGCTATTTGGCTTAAGTATCATCATATTTCTAAGCAATATGGTTATATTATAACATGTATTAGCTAACAAACTCTACAGAGTTTTAGCTATTATATATGTAACTTGCTTATTCATATCTTAAAGCAGTACTATGTTTATATCATATAGGTATATTAGCTATCAAAACTCTAAAAGAGGGTTTTGCTATTATATATTTCAAACTTTTAAGTTTCATCATATTTTAAGCTTTTATGGTTACATTATAACATGTATTAGCTAACAAACTCTACGGAGTTCTTGCTATTATATATGTAGCTTAAGTTTTCCTTCATAAGCTCAATACTAGGTTTATATCATAGCTAACAAACTCTAAAGGGTTGTTTTCGCTATATTATACAATTAGCTTAAGTTTTCATCATATCTTAAGCAGTATGTTTACATTATAAAGGTATTAGCTAACAAAACCCGATTGA